CCCGTTAATATCATAAACCAATTAATTTTAATCCTTAAAAGTCCTTATCCACGTAATTAAACTCTCGGAAACTCAATTTAATTAGTATTCAGTATTTAATTTATTATTTTATATTAATCCCAACTGACAGAGGAGTAATGTTTTTAGCGTGTATAATTCATTTTAAAGTATTATGAAACTTTAAAATTAGTTTTCTCTAGTGTTAACCAAAAGTCGCACCCTTAGTAAATAACAAGTGAGGGTTTGAGTGGTTACGGCTGAGGTTGCGGTTGTGTTCTAAACTTAACTTAAAGTTAGTTGTAATGAATGGAAATGATTAGAAAGTTTTAAACAAAAGTCCTTTAGCAGTGTCCGTTTCTATGTGACTATTAAAAGGGCAACATTAAGCTGATTAATAGATTTTGCGTATACACTAATTGTATTAAAATTGTATTTTTTTATCATAAGGTGGCAAACGACCGAAAGGCTACCTGAAATCGCTGAAACAGCGAAGTGACCGTTGCCCATAGACATACGCAATTGCATTAATCGACGGAGGAGAGGATGCACAGAAAGAAAATATTTTCCCTTTCCGTGCATCCTCTCATTCGGAAAGTCCACTTCCACTTTCCATGCTTTCTTTAAATTGATTCGTATTTATGCCTTTTAGTATGAATCCTTAATACGTATGTTCTGAGGTCAGAAATGGAAAAAAAATATCAAAATGTTACTAATATTATAAATGCGAATGTTTAAATGGATGGATGGATGTTTGTTACAAGGTATCTCCAGAAAGTCTGAACGGATTTCGATAACATTTAGCATAGATATTTAACATAGTCTGGAAGAACACATAGTTCCCTGATTATGTTTTTTAATTCTGCGCGGACGGTGTCGCGGACGGCTAGTCATATGTAAAATCTAAACTGCCAATATCTCGTAACAAGTAACGTAGCGTTTTATTCATAATATTATTAAAAAATCTCACATGTCTTCCAATTTTTCGTTCTTCATATAAGAGTGAAACTTTCTATCACTTTGTAATAGTTTGTGATAACGGACACGATTTTGCCATTATTCAGAGGGGAGTGACGTCACATGACCTGTTCCGGGGGATCTAATGCAAAGCGTTCCGTAAGGTACCTGACAGGAATATTTATGGAGATACCCTTCCTTTGACACACCTATTCTTCTATATTGTAACGAATTGTATAGTAGAAAAAAGAAAACCCCTGAAATTAAAAAAAATAAGAAAAAGTTGACCAAAGAAGCAAAATTATATTAAATAAAAAAGTACCACAAGAATTTTTTATTTTTAATTTAGTGCCTAAAGTCCTGTATAAAATTCAAATATTATCTTTGGTTTATTAAAAACAAATAAAAAGACAACGATATGTTTTTATGAACGTGTTTCGGTAGTGTAAACTCGCAGTATTGGAAAAAAGAGCAAAAATAATAATTGTTTTTTGATGAATAAGAGTAGTAATATAGAACAGAGTCAGAGTGCATTTTTATTAATTGTGTGAACAGTATCTGGGCCAAGGTGTCGATAACTATTGAGGTCGAATTCATTGTTGATTTCATTTCATTTTATTACAACAAAATGTAAAAGCTTTCACGATAGTACCCGCGCTACAGTATATAGTATAAGTACATTATATTTCTCAAATAGATGGAACATAATATTTATATAAGCATTCATACGCCCTAAAAATCCCTCGACCGTCATATTTTCATTCGTCCTACAGTACACTTAGAACTACTATATGATTTTTTTTATTTCATAAAGTGGCAAACGAGCGAACGGCCACCTGAAATCGCTGAAATAGCGAAGTGATCGTTGCCCATAGACATACGCAATTGCATATGCGTTGCCTACCTTTAATCGACGGAAGAGAGGATGGACATAAAGAAAATATTTTCCCTTTCCATGCATCCTCTCATCCGGAAAGTCCACTTTCACTTCCCATCCTTTCCTTATAAGAAAAAGGTTGGGAAGGGAAAGAGGACTAAATTAGGCCTCCGGGACGCACACTCATCAGACTGTACGCGGAATTGCTTCCACTTCAAGCCTGTCTTCTGTGTGGTCGTGGTATTTCACCGAGCGAGACGGACCGATTCGTGCGAAGATGTTAAAGCGGGCTCTACCACTGTTAAAATGGTATATAGAATTATGAAATAAATAAGAATTTTTAAAGCTCCACTTAGCTAGCTAGCTTACAATTTGAGATTTTACCCCAAAATATTGTAATAAACAATGCATGTATTAAAAATTAAAAACATTAAATTATTCATATATACATGACAAATAAGACTCTATGGTCTCTGCCTACGCCTTTCGGTTACGGTCGTAATTATGTTGTTTGTGTTAAAATTTTAAAAAGATCACAACAAGATTCCTACCCATATAAAGTACAAAGACATGAAATTTGTACTACATCTATAGAGAAATTTTAAATTCAAAACACTCCATTCAGATTACAGCCTAAACAAACCTCAGAACGTTAGCAGTGAATGAAAACAGTTGTACCACGGTTTTTGTAACTCAAACGTGCCACAGAGTAAAGCCGATTGTGTATTGAAGCTAACTAACCGACTTTGAAATGCTAGTACCCTTTGTTTTTTTTGCATACTCCGAGCCCTAGGGGGGACGCGATAGTTATGTGGGATTACCCACTAAACCTCTCTGTTCCTCCAACGCATAGGGACGGGGCCACGGGCACGCTTTCGCTCTCGTCCGCGGAAATGCTAGTACCCTAACAACTTAGATAGACTGGGGAATAGAAAACAGTTTTTTGTTTTGGTGTATTGTTTAGTTTTAAGTTGAATTGAAATTGATTTCCTGTAATTCAATTTAACTTAAAAGAGTAATTAATTATAAAAATACATAACAAAGATGTAGCTTAAGTACACGTTTACTTTAAGTTTTTTTGAACTTATGTAATAAAGTCAAATTTAATGCATCTATACTATACTATACTATATATAGTCTCTACCTAACTTGTTCACTCTTTATAATTGACGCGGGTTAATGTCTTTACTTAAAAAGATTGAAGATAAGAAAGTACGAGTAATATTGACGTTGAAAAGACGAAAATCAATCTTGCAAATTGACTCCGTCGTGTTTAATTTCGTTTAGCAAAGTACTCGGGAATTTAATTACGAGTCAGTAGGTTCAAATCTCATTTTAAACGTTGGAATGTCTTATAATTTCACGCGCGTATTTCTCATTCATTTAACATAAGCAAGAGTTTGTAGTAAATGGTTAATTGTTACAAATTAAATACCTGAAATACTTTAAACAATTACTTAAAGTGAAGTTAGAATAATTAATGCGATATTAAATTATATTTAATATTTGATTACTTTTAAATTCAGTATTACCTTATTTTAAACTCAATAATAAACTCCCAAATATATAATATTAAAAAGTTGCATTTATTATTTTTAATTACATAATTCTAAAACAATTATCAGATTTAGGTAATCTTTCGTTCCTAAATAATATAGCACGCTGTGAATGACACAACGCACATGAAATGCTGTGATTCTTTTTAGTTATTTCTAAAGCTTAAGTAGTTATTATTATATTATGTATCTTAGTGTCTTGTAAGTAGGACGACATGTCCTCGCTTATCGAGGCCGCAGACCCACCCCCGACCCGCTTTGTATCCTAAATGTATCCTCGCGTTACATCCTTTAAGATGACATCAATGACAAAATGGCGTAGACCCCATTTTACTTCAATGGACGGCTTGATTTATTATTTTTTTTACCACACTATTTCCTAATATTAATAATATTAAAGAAAAAAGAAATAGGTTTATTGAAAAAATATAAATTAATTGATGTTATAAAAAGGATTTTTGTTTTTTTTTCTTTTGGCTGTTACAAATAATCTTAATAACTTTAAATGTAATTGACATTAAAATAAGAAACTGGCGACTTAGAATTTTTTTTTCAAACATTACAAAGAAATATAAGATTTTATATTTCCACACAGACACAATAAAGAATGTTGACATGTGTATTAACGTTTGAAATGAAAAATCCACTCGGCAGTAGCGGGCGCATTATTAACTCTGATATCCGTATCCGCTTCGGCAAATTCAATCAAGGAATGGATATCACGAGCACGGCACGTGTTGATTTTGTATTTTTCATTTAATCACTGTCGCTGTGGATAATTGAATTCTTTTATGCTTGTTTCATTCTCAATGATAAATAAATACTACAAGAATAGACTTTAAATGTTTTTAATTATTTTGGTTTTAACTTTTGGAACGTCGTGAAATTAATTTTGTTGTTTGTTTCCTTCTAAAAGTTTTATGTCTTAGCAAGCATAGCATACACCGCAGATAAGGTAAGTAACTGTTATCGTAATCTTACTAATATTATAAAAGCGAAAGTTTATATATATTGAAGTTTCTTCAAAACGGAGCAACGGATATCTATGAAACTTAAATCGAAGTGTAACAGTCTGGAAGAACATATAGGCTACTAATCATTTTTTTAATTCCGCGCGGACGGAGTCGCATGCGACAGATATTTAAACATATAATTGCAATGTTTTAACCCTTAATTTTTTAAACTTAGCTTCTGGAGCAAGTCAAAATACAGCTTTTCATGGCAGATAGAAAATAGCCTAGAGTTTATTATTATTTTAAGTTGTAAAATCTTTAGCTAGACTCTATTATAGTCTGTACAATTGAGGGCATAATTAGTGTACGCACGTTTAGCCCGAGGGGCCGAAATTTACACAAAGGAACAATTAGTTAAAGTCATTAGCTATTACCCGACATCGAGTATCAAAGGTAATTTATACCTTTGAAACTCGATAGCTGAGAGAATTGTTAATGATCTAAGTGTCAAATTAATTTATTTTAATAGAAATAATCGTTTAATTCATATTCATTCTTTGGGAAACTTTAATAGACTATTTGAATAATCTTTTTATTAAAAAATGTTTGATCGTCACACTAATATCATGGGAAAGTTTTATTGGATATGAGGTTACTTACGATGGCGGGATGCCTCCAACGAAGACATCTGAGTTGGAGGCGAACTTGCCGAATACGTATTCTTTGCCGCGTGACGTCTTGCTCTGCGTCACGCCGTCCACCGTAAGAGACGTGTGCTCGTCACGTCGGGCAACCTGACGATGTCAAAATAAGTTTAGGCTTTTTTAAAATACTGGTTCAAGTACCTTGTTTTGTTATTGCACTGGAAACTTAATAATTATTATGGTAAATGTGTTTGTTAAGCTCTCACCTGAACTTTATGCCAGTGCCCATCATTCAGATTGTTGCCGACCGTTATTATTTGAGCTCCCCCACCCAAATTATATCTCAATCTCAGAGCTCCATTCACCAATTTTAATTCAAAGAAGTCGTAAGTTCCACCATCGTCAGTGTACAGAAGTAACCCATTTGGTTGATCTGTCTTGAACTCGAGTTCCAAAGTTCCGTTGAGTCCGGCGTTCCATTTTCGAAACTGTGAGTATGGGTTCTGTTTGTCGAGGACGAACGCTAAGTTCCTGTGCAGAGAGAGCGAAAGAAGACAGAAGAGGACGTGAAGCATTGTGGTGACGTCAGCGCTCATTGCGGACACCGGACACGTCACTGAGCGACGTTACACCTGCACCTTTTACGTTTCATCTCTCGATTTCCTGCAACAAAATTAGCAAAATTAAATTTAGACGAAATCAATAAAGCCGACTGACTGTTATACTTCGGGGCGGAATAGAAATCGATATCTTATTCATCGAAATCTTTTAAGGATTCAACACAATGGAAGTGCGAGACATACACATTCACATAGAGGAAAACATAAATAATAATAAAAAAATACATAAAAATATATACTCTTGTCAGTGAGGTGACGAGATGTCAAATGAAATGTATTTCCGTGCGTCAGTTATTGTTATGTAAAAAAATACTTTTTGTATACTATGGCATTTATGCCATATAGCTTTAGCTAATGAGCTGTTACGAAATGTAAAATCTGAAAATCGTAAAGTTTACGTTAATAATGATTTCCTAAACGCATAGTGCTAAATGTGCATAAATACCAAAATAACTCTCATAGTAACTACTCATACTAACTCATAGTCCCGGTAATGACAAATTAACTAAACAATTAATTGGTTCCATTTAAAACTTCTGAAGGGATATGTTTTTCTTAATCAGTTCTACAGGTAAGAGTTAGTAGTTCAGTAGTGGCAGGCAAACGCTCTCTCAATGTAGATGGAGGTGCCAACTTTTGCACTGTAAAAATCCATTAGGTGCCTAATTTGTTCAGACACGGAAAGCGGTGGTGCCAAGTTTTGACTTAGCGTTCAAGTTTGTCGTATGAATATTAAAACGGAAGTTGTTCTGCTCTCATTTATTTAATTAGGTCAATTGGAAAATTTCTATTGAAATAAATAAAGTTAATTAGACATTTTTAACGTGAAGTCAATAAACGATTTAACAGTTTTGCTACACTGTTATAAGCGACTCTTTTGGTTTTGTTATAAATACATAAAAATATATATTATTTAACAAGAATTAATACTTTAAGAAACTTATGCAAAGGAAAATTTTCTTATTAGTTCTTTTTTAATTTAAATATTAGTCCAAATAATTTTAATACACGAAAGCAAAAGACTCGTAGCAAAAGTGTTACGAAAACCGTAACACTTTGCTACGAGTCTCTTCTATGTTATAAGTACAGTAATAGTGTCTTATCATTAAAAGTTTACATTAACTTTTTCATCTATCTACATTTAATATCATACAAGTTAACACATAAATAACTATTATATTATTTTGCTAATTATACGTTACAAAACCAATAGCTTGTAGTATTTATCCTAATTACTAATATTTATTATTAATCTCGTAAACGATAATTACTATACTCGAATGCTTGAGGCGGTCTCTTTCAATTAGTACGTAATTAATTTGTTCGATTACATTTAATATTCTTATTCATATAATATTAATTTATAAAACAAAATATTTTAACTTAACCGCAAATTGTTTAGACGACCTTTATTAAAACTCCCACAATATATTCTAAGGTTTCACAATATTCTGTGAATAAATAATTTCTTAGTAAAGCCATAGATGTCTTCGTAATCAAAATAATATTATCTCACAAAAACAGACTACAAACGATTTAAGTAATTTATCAAGTACTAGCTGTCGCCCGCGACTAAAAAAAACTTAATTAGTGTAGCCTATGTGAACACATGAAAGAACTTTCAGACTATGTTCTATACGTATTCCAAATTTAATCGAGATCCGTTCAGCCGTTCTAGAGATATCTTCAAACATCCATCCATCCATCCATCCACATCACATCCATCTAAACATTCGCATTTATAATATTAGTAAGTTAAATAAAAAGCTGCTCTTCAAGGCATAAATTGGAAAAAAAATTAATAAATAGTATTCTATGTCCGTCTCCTGGCTCTAAGCTACCTCCTCACCAATTTTCAGCCATATCGGTAAAGCCATTCTTGAGTTATAAATAGTATAACTAACACGACTTTCTTTTATATTATATATATATATACATATATATATATATTTGGAGTTATTCCATCTAATGTCCTAAAGTAAAAGTCCAAGCAGAATCAGATTTTATTTTATCAGAATAAGGTTGCATTTACAAACTATTGAGAAACAACAATCCAACGTTCACGTGTTTTCCCCACGAATATTATACATCGCAAAGTTCACGCCTCGGAAAATAACGTCATCATGCAGGCGACACAAGTTAGGTTTTGCATGATCATTTTGACCTGTTTTATATGTACGAGCACTCATATACAGTTTTGTCATACACACGCTAAAGTTTGCCTACAGGCATACATGAGAAGTTAAAATCGTCATGCTAAACCTAACGTGTGTGACTTGCATAGTGTTGCAAGTCGAAATACCGGAGTTGGCATCCGCCCCAAACCGGTTTTTGTCAGTTTTTTCACAGATTTTTGCACAAATTGTACGACTCCGTTGTTTTGAAGAACATCCATCTTTGTTTGCTACAATGCTCGGAATGTCCCACTTTGTTTTCCAATTGTTGAACTTAAGCTTCGAAGCGTATTTGTACTTCATAAGCACAAAAAACCACAAAGAAATATACGATAATTTGACATTTATAAAAAACATAAAAGAACTGCATACTATCATACTTAAACCATATTAAAACTCAAAACCGAAATCATGCATTGAACCATTTATCCTTATCAGCAAATAACATCCATTTAGTCCAAATTTATTCAATCTAAAGATCGCAATAACAATCTAAAAGCATAATATATTCTAATCATTTTCTTATTCATTCTAAATAATTAAAAATAGTTTTTGAATAATTCTCAAAGATTAAACATTAATTTCAATCAAATGAACACAGTAAAAACAATGTTGCGTTAAAGTAGCGTAGGTATACGACCAACGCTATATACATTAAATGTAATTTAGGTACGACTGTGGCGTGTTTTTAATAAACATGACATAAAGCTTGACACGTAATTAATCAAAATTATAATATAATACCTATAGAAGAAATGTAATAAGTAAGCTAAGGTATCATATACCATCAGAGGGGGTTTAGTAGGTAGGCTCCATGTCCCATTTCCTCTAGGCATGTGGAGTCGCACATATCCGGAGTGACTTTCCGAAAGGCACCCGGTATGCGTAACGCTTTCCCCCATCTTAAAAAAAAGGTATCATAAATAAAAGTAAATAGCAAACACCACAATTACAATCCTAATCAAGCTAAAATGCGAACAGAGTCTTTTAAATGTATTTAATTTGAAGAATATACTGAATAGCATAAAAATAGATCTATAATCTAGATAACTGACCTCAAAAGCTTCGATATCTCTCCGCAATAACTGCATAAAAGGAGGCCACTTTGCCGATTCATTCGAGTGATCAAACAAAATGATGAAAGAACGCTAAAGCACATAGCGAATGCTCCGAGAATTTACTGCCGCGTTTACATTCCGACGAATCGAGCTTCTCAAAAAAGAAATGCGCCAATCTCTTTTGACAAACAGGTCAAACAACAAAAAATTATAAACGAAACTGATACAAATTATAAAATACTAGCTTTTGCCCGCGACTCCGTCCGCGCGAAATTTAAAAAGAAATTATAAGTAGCCTATATGATCTTCCAGACTATGTTCTACATCTACGCCAAATGTCAACGATCCATGCAGCCGTTCTGAAGATACCTTCTAACAAACATCCATCTGTTAAACATTCGCATTTATATATTATATATGTTAGTAAGATTTGAAAGAGTTCCATTTTTGTTATTAATCTTGGTTAATCTCTTATTACTGGGCCAGCGTGGATGACTATGGCTTAGTCACCCCTAGCATAGGATAGGCTCCGAGCCTCTCGTTGGGGACGTATAATGAGTTGAGAGAATTTCTTATTTGGACCTTCATTGGTAATCAAGTTACACAACATGAAATCTAAATTCAAAATGCACACACAAATAATCTTACATGAGGATAAACGCAACTTAACTACATTATTTTTCGATAACAACATTTTCTTTAATATTATCTCGCTTATATCGAAATAAAACATTTTATTTAGGCTACGCTACGTTTATATGAACGGTTAATATCGTATTCGGAACATTGTGGTGCAGTAAAGTTTAATATCGGGACCCGCACTGACACGACACAGCCGATTCAATACGAAACGTGCTTACATCCCGCTTCAAATTGTTGCTGTCTAATTTATCTCTTTGTTATAAATATATCTTTAGAATATTAGACATTATTCGTACTTCAGAATAGTTGTATATCTTTCTTTAGAAGTGCTTCTTAATTTCGGACGAACGTAATTATAGACTCTGGGGTCAAGAATGGTGTGGATCTGGACAGATGAACGCATTGCTGCTGCTGCTTCGTGAACTTTTTTTTTTACTTTATGAATGTCTACTAATTTTGATAGAAAAAGACGTAGTTAAATAACTTAAACTTCGATGATTCAGTTGACTGAAAAATGTGAGATCGTTCCGATGCCTTTTAGAAAAACAGTGTTTTTTTCGACAATGAAAACCCTTAGTAAGAACGTTCTTAATTTAAATACCTTATTCAACGCAATAACACAAGCAATGCGGACACAATATTAGCAGATGCGGTCTGTGGGCGGGTGAGGGGTAGTGGGAGGGGGTTGCGGTCGTTAAATTCGCATCCCGCGCGCCCTCTCGCGTGCGGAATGCAAATTGTTTGCACAACACAATCCGCCATTCGTGATTGCTTTGTGCGTACTATGACCAATCACTACTATGTTACAAGTTCTATGAACTAGCAGTGACTTTGTAGGTAAATATTTATCCTACGTAGTTACTTTGTAGGTAAAATATAAAAATGTGCCATTTTTATAGCGAGAAACTCAAATGATCTACAAACACTTAATTAACTTTTTTATAGTAATTCTTTACTATTTTAATTTATATGAAATTGTGTGATTTTTAATCTTATCTTATCTTATTAAAAAAATATTCCTTTCATTGTATTAACCTTAAGCCTAAAATAAACGGTTTTATTTTCTTCATAACCTTTTAAAAGCAAAGCTTCGATAAGTAATATGTTGGTAAATCTGTGTGAATCGCGTAATATCCCCGATATTACTTCGCAAGTGGAATGTTCCAGAG